AATTTTCTTGTTTATAAAATGAAGAGTGTTACATAAATTTTGTGAAATTAATCACTTTAAAAAAATACTCTTATTTCCTAAGAATGAGACTCACAGCCTACAAAGTCCTACAAGAGGACACCCCTGAGGGATAGTCCAGGTGTTGTTAAAGGCTACTAAGGCTCATCTGTTTGGAACTAGGATTGCACTTTCTGGAAAAAAAACTGTTATTTATACAACCTATTTTGTGTTTTGCTAAGTTCTTTCACTTATTTATCAAGTATTGATTGGGCACATTTTTCTCAGGCATTGTGCATGTGCTAGGCATGCACACACATATGTACTGAGGTGGCCCCAGCCCAAACCTGAAGAGGCTCACAATTCAATGAAAGCAGCAGATGTAAATAATTCATTATGACATCATGCAGTTCAACAAGCTGACCATGATGGAGAAGCCCGGGAAATTTCCCCATCTAGGCAGAAATTTAGATCACAGATGAAATAACTTTCCCTACATACCAAAAGAGTTAGGGGCATTCAAGTTGGAAGAACTGGGCCCCACGTTTTTCATCAGTGTGGTTTTGCACACCTGGTTGACACAACTGAGTCATAGTTACAAGCAACATGTCTAATAACACCAAATGAGCTTTCCCTGTGACAGGAAGGCTGACTTGTTATTTCGAAAGGGGGAAAAAATTCACCAAAGCATGACTTGTTTCACTGCATTCTCTTACCAGATCTGTTTAAGGACTCGAGATTCCTCATTGACATACAGCATGACAGCACCTCCACATTTACCTGTCACTTCATGCTTTATAAATACTTCATAGGTCACTCATCAATCTTAGAGGCTCAAGGAAACAAAGAGATAATACAGTCTCAGGGACCAAAAAAAAAAAAAAAAGAGCCCTAAAGAAGGTGGTCAAATGAGAATTTATAACCAAGGGCTCCTAGATCCAGGGGTTCTTCCCCATACTGCGTACCACTTCTTCATACCCTTTTGTATTCTCACAAAGAGCTAGAGAAGTAAACATACTGGTCAATTGCCCAACACAGAGAGGAGATACCTAGACGCCATGCAGCCAAAGGTTTAAATCCCAATTTGCAAAGGGTTTCTGTCTGTATCATTTGAGCCACAAAATGATTCCTTGGGATAACAGGCATTCCCCTTCTCATGAAAAAAAAAAAAAGTGGCTTCACAAAGTAAATGGAGAAGAGAGAATTCAAATATGGGCTCACAGGTGATTGGATCATTGCTTCACCCATTGTTTCCTTAAAAAAAAAAAAGTTGCAGAAGATTAATGGACTCCCATGAATCAGGTCCAAATTGTTGTCAAAGCACTTTAAGGGCCATCTACATTCTCTAGCAGCCCTAACAGGTACCTGTCCTTCCCCACGGTGAAGTATTTATATTGCCTTCGTTTGTTAAGTCTTTTTACCATTTTTGATGGGAGGTGGGTAGAGGTCTAGGATATGTTTTTCTGGCTGGACTGCCTAGACTATATCCAGCTCTGCCACTTACCGGCCGTGTGAGCCTAAGCAGGTTACTTATCCTTTCTGTGTCCTCGTCCATAAAATCAGGATGATAAAAGATTCCACCTCATAGATTGTTTTATATATACTAACCTATTTAATTTTCACAGCAGCTTATGAGGTTGTTCTGTCCTCAAAAACAAGCACTGTGAGAACAGGACTTTTTGTTTATTCAGGAACTAGGAAACTGGCATTAGGAAGCAATTAGTTATGGAATGAGTGAATACATGAATGAAGAATAGAATAGAAAGAACAACAGATGCCAAGTCCCATTTAGCAGTAACACAAGAAACTCAGAAAAGATATGAAGTTTGTAAGAGAAGTGTGGTGCTTCCAAGATATTAGAGAGACCCTGAAATTACCTTATAAAAGGTAGGACAGAGTTGTTAACAACACCGTGCAGAACTCAGTAGAAAGGAGGGATTTACTACTCCAGAAGCCAAGTGCTCATGACCTTCCAGCCTGAGAGGACCACACTCTGTGCTGTTATTTTCTTGCCTGGAACCTTCTCATGGTATCTGTCTTTTTTTGCTGCTCTCATGAAATATTTCTTATGTGATTTCTGACATTATTACCAATCCAGAAGTTGAAGTTTTGGCCACACTATCCAGCTTGAAATGTAGCCAAAAATTTTTTTAAGAGTTTTCATTTATTTCATTTATGTAAACACCAGTGTCTCAATACAGTCTTGCACAGATTGTATAAGATTCTATTTATGCCAATTTCAACAAATACATAATTTCATAAAATGTAAAGAAATTCCACATGCCAGCCCTTAGGGTTAGGAAACTACTAGTATTCCATAGCTATCCACTTGCTTCTTCAAAATTACTGCTGGATTGCCAAACACTCTCAAACCCCTCCTTAACTTCCCACTCATTTTATTTACATTTCCCTAGTAATATTAACCATCTGAAAAAGAACAGACTGGGATATTTTAGAACTCAAGTTATTTACCCTGCGTCTCTCCCAATTGCTTTTTTGACACTGAGGGGTTTCAAATCAACTTGTTCCACTGTTTCCCTGATTAATAATATACTTGGCAAATATTTGAATACTTTATGTGATGCACTATGAGAAAAAAGCAGTTTAGTAAAAAGGACTTTGCCCTTTAAATCTTATTCTGCCACTTATAATTTATGTAAACTTGAGTAAGCCACAACTAAGAAGCCCCAGTTTCTTCACCTGATAATGGGAATGAAACCCACACTTCACTGGATTCCTATGACGATAAAGAGGACACTGAAGTGTGAAGAGTTTAAAAAGTTATGAAACACTCAAAAAGCAACAATATAAATACTACAACCTGTTACCATGGAAGGTACAAAGTTGTCTTAAAACTTTACTCTTGCTATGGAAGAACTTCAACACTAAACCCAATCTGGCAACTGAACAGCTGATACGGGTCCTACCCTGTCAACCAGTGGCTTCCAAAATGAAATGAAAAGATGATCCACTGGAATATTGGGAAAAATAGAATTTTTATTTACATTTGTAATTATATAAATAAAACTGAAAACCCACTTCCACTGTTATTTAATATCCAAAGCAACAGTGACACCGCCACTCAGTTTCAAGGTCCAACGTTCACCTGCCATGCACTGTGTTTACCAATGCGAAGGTTAGGACATGGCATCTTCCCTTTTACATGTGCCTACCTAAACTGATTTATGTACTTACCTGCTTTAATTAAGCTAATTCTCACAATATGAACAAATGGCTTAAAATACTTACAGAGAAACCAGAATTTGCAAATAAATTTAAGCAGACATAAGCAAAGGGTAAAGCTTACATTTGTCCTATTCCTAGTAGGAGTTGTCAGCCTCATAAAAATCTAAGTTTTTGAAATCAGATGTTTTGAAATGTTGCCATCACTGCAGTATTTATTCACTGCAGTATTTATTCAGCTTTTCACCTTATTTATAAATAAAGCAAATTTGTCTAGCTACACTTGTGGTAAGCATAGCATAATGCATAGAGTCATTGAATCACTAGATTGTACACCTGACATTAATCTAACATTGTGTTGACTATACTTCAATTTAAAAAATTGCCCATTAAATTGTCATCAACCCTAATACCAAATAGCAATTCTTCGAAACGTTACTAAACTTTGACACTTTCATACTTCTAACAAAATGGATCAAAACTATTGAAATCTTTTAAAGATTTTCAGTAGAAAACTGTGCTTCCAAATGTTGAAAGTTTTCAGTATGAAAATCATAGGTTAACAGATTCTTACCATAATGAAGCATACTTTTGTATTATTTTCAAAGGAAAGCATCATGAAATATATTTTGGCAGGATCCAAGTGAATCAAATATTTAATCATTTAATATTATGCCATGTGTTTGACACCAAACATCAGTATAGTACTGCATGTGTATAATTTCTTAAATGTACCTTTACACACTGTGGAATACATTATAAAAAATTTGGAGAACCAGATCTTATCCATCAAGATCATTCACCATTTCCGAAAAGAATATCTGGCATGAAGTTGAATGATTTAACGGTAAACCATATACATAAAGATATTACATTCCAGCAATACTGATTAACAAAAAATGTTTACTGGAGTTTTGCCCTTTGTTTCTTGTATATATCTATGTAAATGTAGATTAACTGCTTTCAATTGCTGTCAGGTCTAGAGTGTGAGTAAAGCAATACAAAACGAGGCACATTTTACTAAATTGATACTTTGCCAAACTTACCCAAGAGTACCACAGTTTTCCTCAGAAAGAAACAGACTTCCCTCTGTCAGTTTCAAGGATTAGCTCTGGTTTTCTAACTAGATTTAACCATTTGTTTAAAAAGTTGAATTTCAAAGAATTTTGAAACTGCCAAGAAATCATTATAGTGGTTGCAACCAAATACCTTCAAGCATTTTACTGAAGGAACTGGCAGCTGGATTTGCATGTGGAAATGGAGTCATAAATTTGCTTCCAGTGCTTGAAAGACATTCAGTTTAAAAGAAAATATACACCCCAGAACTACTTAAAACAGCAGTTTATCACTCAACAAAGTAGTCAAAATCCCTTGGCTCATTCCTCACTTCCTCTCTCATAAACTGTGAGACTGGGAGAAATCTGAGAGTTCACCTAATCTAAACTTTGGCTCGTGCCTCTCACTGTTCTAAAGACAGGGGAAGGCAGGACATAACTTAACAGCACTCCAGACTCATTCCCATTGTTGCTTCTCCAGGCTTTGGGGAACCACTGCGGTCATAAAGCTCACTATTTACCCTGACAGATAACTCAGTTTTGAGTAATTCTGAAAGTTAGAACTTTGAGCCCTATCTTGGCCTCGACAGTCTCACACAAAAATTAAAATATAAACAAACCAGATAAAATCTAAAAGTCTCAATTGTTTTCTACCATGTCATTCAACAAATACGGCCTGAGGGTCCACCACAGACTTTAAGTACATAAAGGTAACAATACTCCCAGAAACACATCAATGAAACAACAGGACAACACACAAATGAATATTATTCATTTTCTTTCTTCTACAGAAATTTATTAAAGGTCTATTTATCACCTATCACACTATATACAGGGAACAAAATGGTTAATAGAGTACATTCCTGCCCTCTGAATTTAAAGACTAGAGAAGACAAACAGTTATGAGAGAATGCTAAGCAGTATTATGTTATGGCGCTTCTTAAAACAAATGTACCCACCAAGTCTTCTCCAAAATCAAAACATTATGTGCAAAGTTGCTCAGAGAAATAGAAAAAAAAACTTTAGAAGAGGTGATTTTAAATTCGATATGAAATATATTCTTATACATATTAGCTGCTTTGTCAGTATTCAGTATTCGCAACCTGGAAATTAGGTTGAAAATATACCACTCTTTTAGAACTCTGGAGACGGGTAACCTCATTTTTTTAGAACACAGAACCAAAAATATAAACATAGCATCGTTCCTGATTTGTGTTTCTAGAATCCTATAGAATTAATTCTTTGCAAGCTGACAATACTTGTGAAAAAAGCCTTTGAAGAGACAAGAGAAGTGTGGTCAATTTTCCAAACACTTATCAAGTCCTGGGTGATAGGGTTCTGAAGACACACAGGGAGATCAACAGATTTTGAATCCAGAAGAAGGTGAAAATGTGCTATCAAAATCACTCCATGTCTACAGCAGTTAGAACAGTACTACCTGAGCAGAGGTGACTGCAAAGCACAACGTGAACCAAATAATGGCATCTCTCCCACAAATGGAGAGTGCTGGGGAGGGTCTCACAGGGGCCGCGTCAAGGTCCTGAGTGACAAATGATCAGGTCCAGAGGTAGGATGGAAGAAAGTACCCAGGTAGAAATAGTTACATGTACAGTTACTTCACTTTTCTAAGACATGACCTGCCCAGAATAGCAGACCAGTGCCTCTCAGAGGTCATAAAAGTATCTAAACCAATAAAATAATGATAAAAATACGGTATCTAGAGATTCCTCCATCAAAGCAAAGATACAGGAGAAAAGCCCTCCCAGAAAATAGGGACTAGGTGTAGCCCCACATTTTCAGTTTACTGAACTGAGCAGGAAACTAGTCCATTGTTTAGTAGGAAAGAGCTGAAAGATAGCAATCAGTGTGAACAATAGTGTAACTGCAAGAAGTCAATGTGGCAACGGTACTTAATTTGTAATTAATTTGAAGCTTACAAAGCTCTCCTTCCAAGTTGGAGGACTACAAGAGGAAAGAAGGTAAGTTTTCCTCTTGAAAAGGACTCTGGTTTAGGAAAGAAAGGGAATAGCCTAATTTGGTAAGGAAACGCAAGCTTTAAGCCAGTTCTCCTAAAATTTCAAAAGGAGCCAACGCAATGCAATTCATTCTATTAAACTAGCCTTCAAGATGCTTACAAACTGGAATTCACCAGAAAATCTATTGAAATCCTACTCCAAGTACCATTACTTCTTTGTGAAATGGCTTCTCTTTTACTCTTTAGCCCCAAGGAGGTCCTTGGGCTTGAGAGACTAGCCCTTGTCATTTTACAATTAGATGCCATGTGAGTTTAAGCACTGTAAGAGACTCATTTCCCTATCTAGAAAATGAAGCTAGTAATATCTACTTCGTAAGATTCTTGTAAGGTAAAGCACATCAAGTTCTTAGTACAAAGCTGGCATCTAATCAAAAAATAGGCCAAAAAAAAAAAGTATTAATCACCCCATCTTTCTGGCCAGGGTAATGCAGGCCTATGATCTGCAAAGATAGCTTTTAGCAGTTTGACTTATCTCAGCAAGCCTGTTCCCCCAACCAAGTCCTCCACAGAACCATCTTTCCACCAATAACATATCTGTGCATCTTGAGATATCCTGAAGCATTTTCTCCTTACAGTAGGTGCTGGGGTTCCTCAAGGTAATTAGAGAAAGAAGGTACACACAAAGATAATTTAACTGGGAATAAAGTTTGCACTATGAACAAAATTAAACACAAAATTCAAATCCTAATCAGTTTGGAAAAAATAATTTCAGTAGAGTAATATTCAAAGGGAAAAACTTGAGTTGCATATCTTTCCTTTCATTCAAAGGCTGAATTGTGAAGCCACCTAAGACTTCCAGACTTTTCTTTTCCTTTTTCCTGTGTAGTCTCTGGTTGTTCACATTTCAAAATGGTGGTTGCTGCTTTCCAAGGAAATGTTCCGGAGGGCAGCTGCCTTGGAGGTAGGTCACCAGGACTGCTCAGCATTTTACAGGCACAGAAAGACTCCAGAAGGGAATGTAGCTGCCAGAGGCCTCTGCTAGCTGTTAGAGGGAGGCAGGTCCATGGCTGAATGCTGCTCTGCCTCTTAGCCCCAAAGTCTGTGCTTGGCTGTTGTTTTAAAAGAGCCCCTCAACAGATGCTCTATGTAACAACTAAAAGACAATAAAAACTAGAGTTACAAGCCAACAAGGATCATACTGTCTCTTAGGATGGTTTAATCATATTAATTTAAATATAAATAAATAAATAAGTAAAGACAGTACTAGTATTTGAAATGTTGGTAAATTTTTAATGCTATTTAAGACATTCACAATAATGCTTTTTTGCCATTCTCAAAAGCTGAATGTTTAAGCAACATGTGTCATGCACACAGCCAACATGCTCAAGAAGCACATGCAGATGCATTTGAAATTAACTACCACTGTATAAATCTAATATAATTTTGAAATGTACTTGGAAGAAACAGGCTAAATCTAGCAACCCAGGTACATTAACACATATACCTTTCAAATTCTACAGGGAGGCTTAATGCTGCTTTGATCCTTATTTCCAGGTACAAGCCTATTTATCCCATTTACAGAGCAAATACTGGGGGTGGGGTGGGGGTGGTAATCTTCTAGTAGAGGTGTCCCCCTAATTAGAAGGAAGAATGAGAATTTTAAGACAGAATTTTGTAAACTGCACAAAAAATGAGAAGACCTCATTTTTTGGGGAAAGTTTTCCTATTTTATCTTCCTAAATGACCGCTCTCTAATATATTAAAGAGTCTGAGAAGTTCTGAAATAAAGGAAACGATTCAACACAATCTATACTTATTCAACTACTAGGAATTCAGGGAGGAAAAAAAAAGCTTATTCTTTTCAGCTTCAATTTCCACTTTGAGCCATTCATGGTGGCTGCCTGAAACCACCTCCAAAGCTTCACAAGATGAAGTGAACGGAACCGATGAGCAATTCCTACTCAGCAGATGTGTGGGCCACTGTTGGGCCATGAACAGTTTGGAAAACGCTGATACAGGATAAAGCCGTGGAGCTTTCAACACTTGCCCCCAGTTCCCTTTTTTATATCCCCCTTCTGTACTTAGGAGTTTGTAAAGGAGGTAGGGAAAGGGGAAATAATATTGTGTTAAAATGCAAGGAATGGTTAAGTCCCTATCAACTTTACTCTCTAACCACCTTTTGCCCACAAAAACGTTAAGACCTCTGAATTTATGGATCCAATGAGAGTAATGATTTAAACATATTTTCTAAGTGTGAGGAGAATGTAAAGAGTGAAAAAGTTCCTCTTTCCTTAGTCAGTAGTCTAAGTTCTGAGCAACAGCCAATTTGAAAAAAATGAGGGACTCTCCCAGGGAAGAGCGGTAGGTATGCAAATTTCTCCGGAAGAGCCACCCTCTCCACCAGAAGACAGACCTAAAATGTCAGAGCCTCACGTGGTTCCTTCTTGAGTCCTTTTAAGAAAAAGAAAAAAAAAAAAGCAACCCCAGGAGGCACAGCTACTTCAAGGAAGTGAAACAACCTTCAGCTGATCTTTTCTTAACTGAGTCTTGATCTTTTTGGGTTTAGGTCTGCTTAGGTTAGAAGCATCAGACTTGGGAGAACCAATTCGATGTGTGCAAAGAGAATAAAGTGAAAGATCACTCACATAAAATAGTGCAGGCAGGTAAAAAACAGCAAATAAGCAGGCTCAAGCAAGAAATGTGTGTAAAAACCCTAATCTTTCTAGTCTCCATCTCCCTCTCCCAGATGAATCAACAAACATTGCTGGCTTTTAAGAAGTTAAAAATTTCAATGGAGCTCACCCAGTTTGTTCCTCAGATGTCTCAAATCATGTACCCTCACAGTTCCCAGCTGCATGAACAACTGACTGATAAAATCAGTGACATCCTATGAAGAGTTCACAATGGGAAACTAAGTCATCATGTTAAGATTAAGCATCACCATGAAAGAAAACAAAATTAGGCATGGACTGTTAAACTTAAATTGAAACACTATTAAGAGTAAACCCCAAGTTGTTAAAATTTAAAAAAGACAAAATCTGGATCTCAATATACTGAATCTATATTAAAACAAGCAAATTACCCCCCAAAAAAAGTATTCTGAAAGGTGAACCCAGAAAGCAGAGTGAAAAAAATGTGACAGGATTCCCAAATCTTTAATTGTAGAAACATGATTGACATTTCTGGCTGTTGGCGACAAGCTGGAAATTTGTAAGTCACTAGCACACAAAATGGGCTCTAAATCCTCTGGTATGTTTTTCCCAAATTACGGCTCATTTTCAGTACCAACCTGCTTTAGAAACACCCATGGAAGTCTTTTTTGCTTAGAGTTCTGCTAAGACTGGTGGGCCCCAAACAAAAATCAACAAAATTTGCTTGATGGTCATAAGATAAAATTTTCAGCCATGAGTCTAGTTTCCCTTCTACACATCTTTAGCCCTTGAGTGGCTTAATCTTCAAAATGAAATCAGTTCACTTTCTTGGAGAAAGTGAAATGAGAAGCAGGAAAAGGCTAGAAAACCTATTCAACTTGAGGGTGTTCTTTGGGACTTAAGTCTCTTTCAACTAGATTAGATGGTGTGCAGAGGAACTTTATACATACTCATCATAAAAAATGAACAAAATACATAAAAGCATAAAACAAATCATTTATCCACCCAACACCAAGTCAGCCATAATTAAACATCCTGTTTCATTACATTCGGTTTTCATTTAAGAGGCTGGCTGCTTTTAATCTGCAGGTACTCTCAAGCGGTGGAGATCTGTTGGGTTTGCCAATTATAACCAAATGGTAAAGCTATTAAATTTGATGACTCTTAGAAACCAGCCTGCAGACAGTACTGTCATTTATTTTGACCAATACATTATTTTAAAAGAAAATTGAGTACGAATGCCTCTAAGTTTCCGTTTTGTCACAGGTCTAATTACTCTTTACTGTTTTATATGAGGGTCATTTCAAATGCTTAGGTATCTGCCTGGGTGGGCCCTAAATGCATTTGAGTTTGTAACCCCTCAAAGCATTCAGATAATTGAATGTATACGAAAGTTGAGTAGAAAAACTTACCTTCTATGAATATATACCTAGTGCTTCCTGCCAAACTCAAACTATCCAAAAACTTTCAGTGTCAAGATTTATCTCCTTCCAAGCTTTTATCTAGCTTGAAGTCATATGCAAAAAAAGATGATCCCCATTCAAAAAGAACTTACAAACCTTAAATCGTGAAAATTGCCCACCTTCCAGGTGAGGCCTGAGAACTTAATAAAGCAAATTCCTAGCAATAGTAGTGGTATCACAACTGCTCCAAAGTTGGCATGCAGGGAGAATGCTGTGGAAGCTGTCTGCTCTGTTGAGCTGTAGGATAGTCTGGGGAAAAGGTGGACCAGCAGCCTAACGGAATACTCTGCAAAGATCACCTGCTGGGCAAACTCTAGCAGCAACAACAGACAATCGAAAGCAAATGTGCAATCTAATGAAAGCAAATCTGAAGAGGGCAAAAGGAAACAAGTGGTAGGGTTTGGTATGAGTCAATGGAGAGATATGGAAATCCACTTGATTTGTAGACTAACAGTACACAAAATAAAGGTGATAGATGTACATGGAAAAAATGTCAGATGTTTCTTTAACAGTGGTAGGCTGATGTAGTTTACATGAGACATTTTAAATAACATATACTGCTTACGCCTTGGTAATTCTTCACTTATAAAAAAAAATTTTTCATTTTCAAAGCTATTTTCTAAGTCTGTAGAAAAAGCCACACGTGCTTTGCTCATTTCAATAGGTCTGCATTTTTCTTGAGTTAGAACCCAAGTTGGTTTCCCCAGCACCACTGCAGGAAATGCCCTGGTGCTTCTGGTTAAAGCCAGCAAGTTGTTTGTGTTAGCCAGGGTCACCAAACGTGCTTCCCTTTCCTAGTATCTAAAGTCAATTCCAGGGGCGCCTGAGTGGCTCAGTCAGTTAAGCGTCTGCCTTCGGTCATGGTCCCAGGGTCCTGGATCAAGTCCGACATTGGGCTCCTTGCTCAGCGGGAGCCTGCTTCTCCCTCTTCCTCTGCCCCTCTCTCCCCACTCGTGTGTGCTCTTTCTCTCACAAAATATTTTTTAAAAAATAAAGTCCATTCCACTCTATCATTTTTCTTAGATTTTTTAAAATTCAGTTCCCCATTACCCTGTCAGCTGGATTTGCTAAAAGAACATAGATTTTTATCACTCTGCAAAATATGTTGACCTAGAACTACTTGATTAGGTTAAGGGAAATTTTAAAGCCAAGTATCTTATATATATTCTACTCTGTTTATTGAAATTATGATCCCATCACAAGGCCTAACTATCGTCCAGTCAGAGTGACTGATTTCTCAGCACAAAAACAGCCCTGACAACGGTTCTATTAAATAGGCACTTCAAGAAATATACTGAAATCAGTTAACGGAAGAACACTCTTCCTATTTTTATTCCTAATCAGAGAATGCCATCCAGGAGCCTGTGATTAGGTAGGGTTCTAGCCTACAACAGTGTATAATAGCGATTCTCCCCACGTGTGGCTGAGTATACCAGTAAACTCATTTGGCTTTATAAAGTGGCTCTCTACTGACCTATGACTTACGTTCTGAGGCTATGGAAAATACCAAATCTGCTTACACTGTGATTTAAAGAGAAATACAAAGAGGTATTGGGATTCCTCCTCCAGCCACCAGCTGTTGCCTCTGTCCCTCCTAGCTTTGGACTCTTCTTTAAGCTGAGAGCAGACAAACTGATGGAAAGGTATTAATATAGGGAAACCAACCAGATCTATTTCTGGTTATGGCTCAGGGAATTAAATGGTGACTTTAGAAGTCTGCCCAACATTTTCTCCCATTCTATAGAAGGGAAGAATGAAAAATTTTCTAAGCCATATGGGTAAAACTATTTTATTTACTTGTCTATACTTACATACAACTCCCATCTAACACTTAAATAATTTTTTATTCAACCTATTTCTCAACTGAATTCTACTTCCATGATTCATTTTCATTTTTTTAAACAAATTCTCGACCAAGTGCCTAGTATGTGTCAAGCAAAAAAGGACAAGGGGGAAGGTGGGTAGATTCTATAGTGAACAACTGTCTTGAATATCTCCTTGTCCATCAATTCCATAGGCAAGTGGTTCTCAACCTGAAGGCAAAGAACTTTCGAAGGGTTATAGTGGAGTACCTACAAGGTCTACAGAGCCCTGAGCTCATTAATATGCAGACCAAGAATTATATTCGGAATGAATTATACTTACCATCAATGTACTACAACTTTAAAAATTCATATACTGTCTTTTTTTTTTTAAATACATAGTATCCAGGAGTGATAGTAAACATTTCTTAAATGGTCAAGCATGAGCTCCAACTACTAAAATGAGCAGGCTGCCCTCAACAGCCAGAATGGATCAATCGGCTCCCACCAGCTGATTATCAGAGCAGCCAATCCAGGCAAGAGGGGAGAATTTTTCCTTTTGTTCTCTCTTTCCTTTTTTCATGTTAAAAAGGGATTCTCATGGGGGGAGAAAAAAAAAAGGAGTTACTATTCTAAGAAAAATTGTTGGCTTAGATGTAACACCATATTGTAGTGATTAAATTACAAGAGAAAGCACAATAAATTTAGAGGTTACGCTTTTGTTGGTGTTTTGTTTTTCATCATCTTTAACAGATTCATCCCTACTTTCCCATGAATCCTACAATTGGCTAACTCTTAGCAGATGTTCCAAAGGTTGTAAAGCCTACTTCATGAAAAAGTCTGTGTGTGTTTGTACTCTATTTATAGCAAGAAACAGCTAGTCTCAGGTTTGTGTCCTCAATTTACTTAAACCAGTTAACACTCTGCTCGCAGGAGAAGTTCCAACTTCAGAACGATATCTGGGATGGACTGCAATGTGTGCTAAACTATTTTATCCTAGAATGTATCTGTAATTGGAAGCAATGCATTAGAATAGAATGGACAAGACTTCTTCCCCAGTGAAAGAAGGAAACAAGCTGGACTGGCAGGGCTACCTTTTACTTTAGCCCAAGGAGTAACTCAAGTTCTCCATCTCTTGTCTCAGCTTAGTAAAGGGAGTTATTCACATTAACATATCAAGCACATTCTAACAGACAGTCCCTGACTTTACAATGGTCCAACTTACCATCTTGGACTTTACAAGGGTGTGAAAGCTATACACATTCAGTACAAACCAGACTCTGAATACTGATCTTTTCCTGGGCTAGCACTATGCAGTAGGATACTCTCTTGTGATGCGGGACAGCAGCAGAGAATCAGTCAGCCCCGTGATCCCAAGCCCCAGGGCAGGGCTTGAACTCAGGACCCTGCAATCAAGACCGCAGCTGAGATCAAGAGTTGGACTCTTAACTGACTGAGCCACCCGGGTGCTCAGTGCTGTTGCTTCTGGTTATCTTCTTAATCTAAAAATCAAAATTCTGAGGGTCTGATTAGAAGAAGCTTCAAATATCAAATCACCAAAAATACAAATGCATTTCCAACAAAACTAACCTTAAAAAAGGCAAACCACTTGTAGTCGTTCAACACAATCTCAAAGCCTTGATTGTAAATGATGGTGAAATGGCCGGTATTGCCAAGATCATCACGTGCTGTGTCCAACTTCTCAAGATGCACCACTACTTTTTTTTCTGGTGGTCCTAAAAAAAAATGCACAATAAAGGAAAATTATTTGGACTTCAACTGGGAGGGGAAATCTCCTCTACAATTTCCATTATTTTTAAGTGGCTTTACTTTCATGCTACCGATTTGGACCAGTCTGGCTCGTGAAGATACCAGCCCCCATCCTGTTGCTTCCCTCTGCACACTCCCACAGGTCTCAGGCAAGCCTGTGAAGTAAAGGCTCAACAGTTAGAGATATGTCAAGTAGCCCAGCAGGCAGAGACCCCGAAAAGTACAGCCCTTTCCTTCCCAGAACATCCAAACACTGAAGAAATTTGTCCACTAAGGAAAAGGAGGAATAAGGGATGTTTAAAACGATACACAGAAATGGGTAGAATACAAGACGCTAAACAAAAAAAAAAAAAAGGGAAATATAAAATATAAAAGGATCTGCTATCAGATTATAAGGACAAAGGAAATTATCTCTTCAGAGAAAAAAAGGGGTATCTTTTTCCTCAATGGCTCTACAGTTCAGAACCTCAGAATCTGAATCCTTCCACGGTATTCAGCAAATTCAAGATTTCTATCCTATAAAGCTAGCTTGTGCTGATAGGAACTAAGCTTTCAACTTCCAGAAGATGGGGTGCAGGTCTTTGGGTGTCTATACTAGATTAAAGTCAAAGATATGACTTATAGGCAGAGGCTGCCTGAAAGGGTTCTGCTGTGTCCATCTGGAGGTTTCACACTTTGGACATTTTCTTCAGATTAATGCTCTGAAATAAGAGATTGCATGTGACAAACAGGGCCAATCCTGATCTCCCCCTCCTCCGTACCTCCACATTCCACTTTAAAACAGAAGGTGTTTATAATGCCCAGGATTAGGAAATGCCACACAGTCATCTGGAGTTGGACAGTTGAATAGGTCTGTGTTAGTAACAAATGACCTGGCAATCTTCCTCCTGCTGACAGGGAAATTGCAGCAGAAGAGATTCACTCGCTCTGCACATGCCACAGGGTGGTAAGGGTTTGGCAGAACAAGAGTGCCTCTTTTGACTGGGGATTGCTTTTTTTCTTCTCCCTTTTCTTTGTCCTCAGTGTAGCTATGTTATCTGAGGGCATACGGAATATCCCAGAGGTGTTCTAACACTAAATATTCATTGACAGCCTTCCATGAGCTAGACATTGTGCTTGTCTCTGGGCATTCCCAAATATAATTACTGGCTAAAGAGTTATTTCAAAAAAAAAAAAAAGAGAGAGAGAGAAGAAACGGCGGGGGGGGGGCAACTTTTATATATCTCCCAGCAATACATGAAACACTGGAGCCATACCAAAGGTTTTCTTGGACTAGTAGCATCAACACACGTGTAAATCAAAAACGCTGGGCATAAGGGTTCTTTCCCACAGGCTAACAAAAAGAAAAAACAAAAAAACCAAAAACTTTTCTTGCTATATTCTCCAGTGTTTGAGCTCATTTTCCATGGGCAAAAATAAAAAAAAAAAATGCAGATTGGACAGGGAGATCAGAAGACTGCACGGTTTCAATTCCTTTCCAAACTAAATTGACCAAAAGACAGAAACTAATGGAGGTTAAAAAGTTCCTGAAGAAAGTGTTTAGGTCCGATAATAACCAAGAAAACGTGAAATTAGAAGCTCTCAGCTGCTAAACTTTGCCTTCTTGGACCTACAGCGGCAAAGGGTACCCCAAAGAGCTTTAGGTCCAGCCGGCTTCCCACTGGCACCGGCCCCGGGTCGGGGCGCTCCACGTGGGCGCTGCGGAAAGAAGAGCTCCGGGACGAAAAGGTAGGAGTCCCGGGCTAAAGCGGGTAGGGAGAGAGTCCCGGGGCGCCGGCGGCTTACCCATGACCGAGCAGTTGACGTTGCGTTGTGAACCCACAGCGCCCACCTGGAAGACCCATGTGCCCAGCAGCTCAGGGTAGGTGCAGTTGGCCGGTGTGTCGCAGTGCGCGGTGCCGACGCCGGACAAGAGCAGGAGGAGGGCGGCCAGCAGCGAGCAGGGCCAGGGTCGCATGCTGGCGGGGCTCCGGAGGGGAAAAGGCGAGATCCGTAGCCAGACAGCAGAAGGCCTAGAGCGAGAAGACCGGGACAGCGCTTGCCTTAAAATAGCCGGAGCTGCCGGAAACCGGCGGCCGGCGGGGGCGGGGCGGGGCGGGGGCGCCGCGGGCAGGGGGAGGAGCGCTCGGGAGCAGTCCCGCCCCGCAGGTGAGGAGACCCGAGTACGTGCTGCTCCGTACGTGGAGGGGCTGGACCTTGAGCCCGGAGAGAAGCGAGGCACAGGTTCTATGACTATGGGACGTCTCAAACTAGGATTTAAGAGCCACAGTGACTTTGCTCCTTGAAAAGTAACGGGCGGGGTGTTGGGGAGGGGGACGTGGAGAGAGAGAGAATGTGTGTGGGCGGGGAAGTGACCAAAGATCAGAAAGAGGCGGAGACAGAGTCTCAGGAGGGAGACTGAAGAAGGTGAGGCGAGGGGTGGAGGGGGAATAGACAGAAGGTGAGTCCCAGAGAGGGAGAGGTCTAACAAGTGAGGTTTTCTTTTACTTGCTTTTCTTCCCCGCTTCGTACTCACCAGCTCAGTTTCCCACCCCCGCCTCGGAAAAATTTTACTTGCTACCTCCAGTCACCCTGGCTGTTTGAGAACTGCTCTTCCTTCCGTTTTACAAAACTTTCTTTTTTTTTCCACAACCCTTTTTTGCTTGGTTTTGTCTAGTTTCCTGTTAATGTTGTTTATTATCCACAAGAGAATTCATTTGTAGTGCAAACTTGCAGTTTTTGTGTATTCGTTTTTTTTTTTTCTCCCCTGCAAACTTGATAGGATTTAGTTAACACATACAGGCATACTCATGCACAAAAGCTGTCAGAGATTATGTAGCTCAACCCCTTCTTCTCTTACCGATGAAAAGCAGGAGGCTCAGAGAGAGGAAGTAACTTGTCCAGAGTGAGGAAGGAAGCGGGTGGGAGAAAGCTGGTCTTATGAGCAGGTTCCAGTGTGCCAGTCTGACTGCCAGTAATTATTAGGTAGCACTGTTTTCAAGTGCCTCTTTGCTTAGTTTAAATATCACCCTTTTCTGTGAGAGCTCCTCTGACTTTCCTGGCTGTTAGTGGAAGTTGGGGCTCCTTTTGCTCACAGAGCCCATTGTGTGTGTCAGGGCTTGTGTCAGCCCCAGGGCAAGTGATGAACAAAATAGACTTTTCTGTGTCCCTGCCCTGTAGGGCACATGTATTTTGCCCTCATCACACTGGTTACAAGTAAATATGCATGTTATTCACATGATTCATCTTTGTCTCCCTAGATTCTGACTCAGAAACACTCAGAAACTGTCTTGTGGTGTTAAAATAAATAAGTGAAGGGGTTTAGAGCAGGTCTCCTCAAAATGTGCCACTTACACATGTGCACTATTTTGGGCTGAAGGCAATCAAGACTACAGGGTCAAGAGAAACTTTTTTGCCCCACAGCTACCTAGAAGAATCTAAATGGGGATCTTTGTCAGAATGAGAGTTATTTCCAGAGATATATTTTTTCTGACTGACCCATCTGTATGGCAGGGCAAACATCTAATTACCAAATACTTGCTCTTCTTACTGCTCTGTGAATACTACCCCTCCCCTTTGAGGCACCAGGCCCCTATCCCTTCCTTAGCTCAGGTTGGCATATATACCTCATTTTACCTTTCTGGCTTTGAACTGCTCACGTATGTGGGGTTCCCATACAGATAAAATCACATTTTATTTCCTCCTGTTAATTTGGTACATATCAATTTAATTCTTAGCCCAGCCAGGAGAACTTTTGAAGGGTAGAAAAAAATTTTCTTCTCCCTGATACAACCTTACCTTGGTTTCTAAGCCTGAAAGCCAATTTCAATTTGGCAAGAGGAGTTACTCTTGAGAGCTCAGAAGTGGATATACTCTGTAATGTAGGCACAAACTGCAAAGGCAACGGTGGGGCCTTTTAGATTTTATAGCCCTATACTTAAGATTAAAAGTTGACATCATATAATTAAGCTAACACACTTAGAGATAAATTGGCAGAGTAGCACTGCCTTTCTAAGTCCCTGGGAAAGCAAGTTATTTGTTGTTAAAACATTAAAACTTTTACTAGGTTGTCAATATTGAAGAGTTGAACAGTCCCGTTGGAAATTTCTTTGATAGGTATAATCAAAGTAGCATACCTAATTGTGAAGAAAGTTTAAACACTCTTTTTTCTTTTTTTAATTTTATTTATTTTTTGAGAGAGAGAACACACGAGCAGGGGGAGGGGCAGAGGGAAAGGGAGAAGCAGATTCCGCACTGAGCATGGGGCTTGATCACAGGACCCCAGGATCATGACCTGAGCTGAAGGCAGGCACTTAACCAACTGAGCCACCCAGGCACCCTGAAGTAGTCTTTTTTTAATGAATGATAACTGAAAAGGAATCTTGGAGACCTTTTAGTCTAATGGGTTCATTTTAATATTGGAAAATGGAGATCCAGAGATCATAATAACTTGTTCAATGTCACATTGCCAGTTACTGAGATTCAAAAATAAGCTTCAGGTACCTTGAGTTTAAATTTAGTTTATCTCCAATTATCTACTAATTCCCAAACTATTCCCCCTCAAAATAAAATATTGCTCTGTTTCCATTAGCAGGGAGGAAAATCAGTGATTCTCAAACTGATCAGGCCCTAAGTTTTATTTTTATAACAATATTTTATTTTATTTTATTTTTTAAAGATTTTATTCATTTATTCATGAGAGACAGAGAGAGAGAGAGAAGCAGAGACAGAGGGAGAAGCAGTCTCCCCAAGGAGCAGGGAGCCCAGTGTGGGACTCGATCCCAGGATCCCGGGATCATGACCTGAGCTGAATGCAGACGCTTAACCATCTGAGCCACCCAGGCACCCTATAACAAATATTTTATAGAGATCTTTATTATTCTGAAATGAAATGTACACATAAGCCAGTTACACACTTAATAAAAAAGAAAAATATACCAAATTTAATATAAGGAACAAATAAAAAAGATGTTTTAATTAAATTTCTAATGCAAAGACATATTTCATCATCTAAAATGCCCATGGATCAATATACTGGAAAACAGAATAAGACATTCAGATACTTTTTATACCTCTATGTAAAATTGTAGAATTAGGATAAAAGTGACAGGTGCCTGTTCTCTGAAAACAGAAATCATTTCAGTGAGTTAGAACACAAATATCAGGGCCCCTGGGTGGCTCAGTCAGTTAAGCCTCAGACTCTTGATTTTGGCTCAGGTCATGATCTCAGGGTCGTGAGATCGAGCCCCACATCAGGCTCTGCACTGGGTGTGGAGCCTGCTTAAGATTCTTTGTCTCTCTCCCTCTGCACCCTACCTCAAAAAAAAAAAAAAAAAAAAAGGACATAAATATCTCATCAGATGATCATTCAACTACCATACCTTGGTGTTGATGCTAGATAACTCTGTCAAGTGTCGATGCTAGATAGCCCTAGGTCAGGTGTCAATGCTAGATAACTCTTGGTCAGGTGTCGATGCTAGATAACTCTTGGTCAAGTCCCAGCAGAACAAACTACAATCTTCTGTTGATTTACCTGGAAGTGTCATTCCTAAAAATTTGGCATGTATTTAAATGATATGAAACACAACCGATTTTTTTAAAAGATTATTTATTAATTTATTTGAGAGAGAGAGAGAGAGAGAGCACGAGTGGGGAAGAGGCAGAGGGAGAAGAAGATTCCCTGCTGAGCAGGGAGCCTGTCATGGGTCTCAATCCCAGGACTCTGGGATCACGACCTGAGCCAAAGGCAGATGCTTAACTGACTGAGGCACCCAAGTTCCCCGTAACACAGTTGATTTTATATGCAAACTGGAATTTGGTGCTCAGATCATTATAACAAGTAAGTTTGTAGAGAGGCAACATGGCTTAGAGGTAGTTCCCAAAGTGTGGTCCCAGAACCAATAGGACCAGCAGCAGCCACATCTTCTTGGAATTTGTAAAAAAGCAAATCCTGACCCCTACCTCATAACCTACTGAATCAGAAAATGTCCACGTAGGTCCCAGCAATGTGTGCTTTAACAGTCTCCTTTCCAGAGTTCCTGATACAGCTACTGTTTGAGAATTGCTGTTTTAAACATTGGCAAGACTCAAGTCACACTGCTTGAGAGGGGAGCCTGGCACCTGCCTCTCACCAGCTGTTTGATCTTAAAGATGTTATTTTTACTTCTTTTTGTACCTTGGTTTTCTCATCTATAAAATGTGCATGATTGTGTTCCCTCTCTGCCTCACCTGGTTTTGAGAAGACAAAATGAATTAATACAGGTCTCTATGGAGATCTGACTGCATTTATTATTGTATTTATTTTTATTAGAAAACCATAGGCTCCAAATCTTGTTCTCTATTGTAGCCCTAGCACCCTGAATAATTTCTGACACACAATAAATTCTCAAATATTTGTTGAATGAATAATATGATGGACATGAATGTATCTATATCTCATGGTGAAGAGCAAAGAGCATCATGATTTCCAAGTTCCCTGCCTTGAGCATAAGTTTGAAAGCCACTATTCTGGAATGCCTATTAAAGCAATGAAAGATCTTAGAAATAGAGGGGGAAAAAGAGAACCTGACATATCATTGTAGCATGTTATTTGGTTGGCATGTACACCTCTGTCATTGGGAATCATAATAATCGTAGTAATTTTATTTATTTAGGACTGTACATTGTACCAAGATAATTCACATATATTAGGTCATTTAATTATCACACAGTTGTATGAGGAGGATATTATCTATTTTATTGGAAATAAAACTGAGACTCAGAGAATTTATTAGGGACTAATGCCCATAAAAGAGAAAGTGGAGAGGGAAGAGGAATAGGAGGGGGGGAGCCTCAAATTTCACTCCTGTTAAAGGAGGAAGGAAGGAAGGAGGGTTGAGGAGAAGGAGACTCAGGAATACAACTCTGAGATCGTTTCAGCCGGCACAGCAGAGACGAGCTTGACTTGGGCAGAAATGGCCAGGCCCTAGTCCCGGCGCTGCCTTTAGTCATTGGCCCTGACTGGAAAGCTGAGGTGGTTCCTGAAGTCATTACAGGTGGAGGCTGTCAGCCAGCTGCACTCCTATGCAGGTTCTCTCCTGAAGAGAAACGG